AAAGTCAGCATTAACATCATCGAGGACAGTTAAGTCTTAGGTGGATTTTTATATTAGAATCGCATTTTTGTGAAAAATGCAGATAAAGGGTATTGAATATAAGCCCTCGATATGTTGGAGGTTCACTTATTTAAAAAGAGGGCTGACTTTTTTTTGTCGGGTGTTGCTAGCTATCTCGAAAATAACTTTCAGTTTAATAACAACAAATTTGAATATTCGAATGGCGTTTGCCTATAACTTACAATTCTTTTTTCACAATTTACTCACATTGTAAAAGAGTTTTGCATACAAGATATAGAGTTAGATAACCTTTTTAGCGAATTCTTAGCCTTTCAAAATTTTTGCGTAGTTGAAAAAATTAATTTAAGCCATGAGGAATTATAGATGAAGTCCTTAAATAGGGGGACTTTTCCACAGTTTGAAAAAATATGTAATTTTTTTTTTTCAATACCACACTCAAACGAAGCAACGGAGAGGATCTTAAGTGCAAAGTTTTCTTAATGGAGCAAAGAAAGAAACCGGTTTCTTATTAAAATTTTTTAAAGTGAACTTCATATTAAAAGTAGTTTTAAAATGAAAAATATAGAATTCTGTGAATATTTATACACTGAAGATGGAAATGATATCATTATTGCTATTCAAAAACGTCACAAATATAAAGTAATGTCTATAATGATGTGTACACTCATGTTAAAATTAATAACACTTTTCTTATGAACGATATTTTATTTATATACGAAAATATTGTTAAAAACAACTACTCTGGGGTTTTAAAGTTTTATCGATACCTACATTCATAATTTTGCTTTGAAGAAAAATGTACTGAAAAGTACTGATTTTTTTAACATGAAAAAGTCTAACGTACTGATTTCGCGCATAAAAAATCTGGCAACCCTAATAATACATCAAATGGCATTTCATTTTAGTAATTTTAATACAGTAATATTTCAATACAATTTTTTTAAATCCTTCGCGTGTACTTCTTTTTCTCAACTAAAATTTTCTAATTTCTAAAGATTATTCAACTGGTTTGTCTTATTTTGACATTGCACTTTTGTCTTAGGAATGTAGTTCTTATTTTATTGCTAAATGGGAAGGATTAAAAATGAGGGCACCTTCTTGGCACTTTTATTTTTTTATTTGGCACATTTTGCCACTTTTTTATTAACTCATAGGTAAGGATAGTTGGCAGCCCTGGTCTTTTTGTTGTGCCAGTATAGGGCAACTGAAAACCCAGTAGTCAGTTGAGGAGTAGCTTACCCAGTAGGACTGTACCTGAAGTAGTCCAAAAGGAACCATAACTGGTATTAGGATTCATTTATAATTTTTTTCGAACTTTCAAACTTTTTCTTTATCTTAATTTATTTTGGAAGCTTTACTGTAGTTTTTATTTCGTTTTTTATTTGGATTCTTTAGTTAGATTTTTTTCGGATTTTTGATTTTGAATTAAATTTTTGCGTCGTTGAATTTTGCTGTTTATTTTTGAATCATGGAGATTAATAGATTGTCTCAAGTGGAGTTGGCGTACGAGATGGAGGCTCGGGACCTCTCGGTAGCGTCAGTAGAATCTATGCGGAAGTCATTGCGGGCGTCTAGGCTTTTAGAGCGAAGAGGGTCGGTGGACCTCTTCCAAGACTATCCTTTTAGTTTGAAAGGGGATCATGCCGCGGTTGAAGCCAAGGGTGAGGATATTGAGAAACTGATGGGCGAAATAGTTAAGGGCGCGAAGGCGCCGACCGCGGTCAAAGCTATGACTAAGCTTGAATTGTGTTTGTCGCGGATCGGGCGCGCGAATCCGAGCAACGACACGGAGATGAACCAGCAGATGGAGCTGAAGAGCAGATTGCTACTACGCTTGGCCTGCAGGAGGCAGGCGGTGAGAAAGACGAACCAGAACGAACGGAGGATCGGGAGCGAGATACAGCGGTGGTACCGGTAGCAGCACCAGTCGTGGCGGGAGGTCGTACGAATGTGTCGAGCCAGTCGGGGCTCAAAAGATTGACAACTTGTCGAAGTGGGGCGTGTACTTCGACGGCGAGAAATCGGGCATGTCGGTCCACGCATTTTTGGATAGGGTCGACACTGGGCACACCGCGTGCCTCGCTCAACTCTTTCGCGGTGCAGTTGATTTGTTTTCGGGAAAGCGCTTTTATGGTTTAGGTCGGTTGGGCGTTCGTTTGGTATTTGGGATTAGTTGGTTAGGGAGTTAAAGTTTTAGTTTTTGCCTCCAACTACGACGACTTGTTGATGGACGAGATTAGGAGGCGGACTCAGGGTACAAGTGAGTCCATAGGTGCATATGTCGTAGCGATGAAGATAATGTTTGGCAGATTGCAGGAGCCGTTATATGAAAGTAGGATGTTAGGAATTATTAGGGCGAATATTCTCCCGTTTTACCAAACCCAGTTGGGACTAGTTACCCCGGGGCCAGTGGCGGAACTAGTCGCGTTAGGTAGGAATTGGAATCGGTTAGCTCGTCGGTTGAAGCTTTTGTCCCCCCAACGAGTCACAAGGCCAAGGTTTCAGCAGACTGTAGAAAGGGGCGGTAGGCCCGGGGCCATGTACCGGAACTGCCCGGTGTGTGCAGCGAAGCCGAATGGTGCCCAGGGTACCCAGCGTAGCCCGGGTGGAGGTGTTAGGCGGAACCACAACCCGTTTAGGTCGGAGCCTAAGTCGGAGTCGAAGTCAAATAGTAGGGCAAATAATTGGTAGAATACAAGGTCGAATGTTAGGTCGCAAAAGAAGTCGGGGAACGGGAAGTAGACCCCTGGGACAGCAGTTAGTACTCCTGCTAACTCCCAGCTGGCTAAAGTAGGTTTTTGTGGTGCGAATATTGGAATTTTTTTGGCGGCGGATGACTTCGATAAGCGTCCGTATTTGGCCATACAAATTTTTTGTTAATTTTTTCGAGCGATGTTGGATTCTGGAGCGACGAGGACAGTTGTTGTAAATTCGGATGGAGTATTTTGAGTTCTTGGCGCATTAGGGTGTCTTCTTTACCCAACTCTTTAAAAGTGACTTTGGCGGTTTGAGGCCATATTTCCGTTTTAGGTTCTGTTTCGCTGCCAATCGAGGTGGAGGGGAAGTCGGTCCTCCTGGAATGCCTCGTAGTTCCCGGTTTGCCTCAGAGACTTATCCTTGGTGTCGATAGTTGGACCAAGGCAGGTATCATTCCGGATTTGATGAAGATAAGGTGGAGCTTTTCCCAATCGGAGCAGGAGTCGTTGGCGGCGATAGTGAACTACTCCGAGCTAGGCAGTAGAGGGTCTAGGGCTTTAGAGGAGATAGTGGCCCGTGCGTTCAAGGCTATGCCAGAGAGGTTAGGTCGAACCCACCTTGTCGAACATAGGATTAGGATCAAGGCAAGAGTCGAACCTGTTAAACAACGTTATTACACCGTGTCTCCCGTTATACAGTCGCATATGGACGAGGAACTAAAAGACATGTTCGACAAGGGGGTAATCGAAAAGTCGCATAGTCCTTGGGCGTCACCTGTAGTTATGATTAGAAAGAAAGATGGGTCTTATAGGTTCTGTGTAGATTATAGGGTTCTAAATAAATGCACAGAGAAGGATAGCTACGCCCTTCCTTATGTTTCGGCTACTTTAGACAAGCTAAGGGACGCTAGGTTCTTGTCCAGTCTGGACACTAAGTCTGCGTATTGGCAAATTCCGGTGGAGGAGCAGTCGAGGCCCTTCACAGCGTTCACGGTACCAGGTAGAGGTCTCTTCCAGTTTAGGAGAATGCCACATGGGTTGCATAATGCACCTTGCGACTTGGCAAAGATTTATAGATGCGGTCATAGGCACAGAGTTAGAGCCCCATGTCTTTGTTTACCTGGACGACATCAATATTGTCACGAATAATTCTGAAGCATTTGAAAATTTTGCAAGTAGTTTTAGATAGGTTAGCCAAAGCAGGCCTTAGGTTGAACAGGACTAAACGAAATTTTTGTAGGTCAGAGTTAAAATATTTAGGCTACGTGGTAGACAAACACGGTCTACACGTAGACGCAGAGAAGGTAGAGGCGATGGTTAACATCGAGAGACCCAAAAATGTCAAACAGGTTAGATCCTTTATAGGTACAGTGTCCTGGTACCGTAGATTTATAAAAGATTTCGCGGAAGTAGAAAGGCCCCTCACCGAACTAACGAAGAAAAACCGAAAATTCGAGTGCAACGAAGATTGTGAATGGAGCTTTAGGGAGGCGAAGGCCAGTGATCGGACTTAAAAAGAATTCTGTGTGGTAGAATCTGGAAAAATATGTGGTAGATTTCAAAAAAAATGTGTGGTTTTTTGGATAGTTTATTATTATTTTTTTTATACTACGAAATAGAAAATATAATAAGTATTAATAGGATCGCGACAGTTCAACAAATTTTGACTAGTTTTCTTTTGTTTGTTAATTTTTTACTAAATTTTAGCTCATTTTCTAAAATAGTTTCAAACTTTATGCAAAAATTAAAAAAATTGTGCAACGTTTCACATAAATTGCAAACTTTTCAATTAGAATCTCCAAAGAAAAACTTTTAAATTTTAGTACATGCAAATTTTAATTTGCTAAAAACTACGTTGAGTTTAGGAATTGTTTTTTCTTGACAGTGTAAAGCAGCAGTTCCTTCCTTATAAAGATATTTTTCGAACCTACTTTGAGAGATTACTCCAATGGTGCGGAGTGCTGGCAGCTTTTCTTTTTATCACATCACGATTTAGCGAACAAAGGTGGTGCGTTCCACAAACTGCTATTTGGGTTTTGCCTATTCTCAAGTAAATGTGAACAACGCCTCAGAAACTTTAAATGCACTGAAATTCATTAATACTTTCACAAATCTCCGATTTTTGACATTATCTTTATTAATCATTTTTATAAATCATATACTTTGCATTCTAAGGCAATTGAAACACGTTTCCTGTAGAAAAATTTAATATTAAGAAAATTTACTCTTTGACAGTTTGTTTTTATTTAATTTTATGTTTACCCGCCGCCGAAATGCGAAATCTTGTATTCTCTCATTCTTGTTAACATATTGTGTTTAGTGTTGGACAATTTTTGATGCCAAAATTAAAAACAACAAAAATTATGTTATAAATTAAACTGCTCCAAAACGAATATGTGGGAGACTTCAGACCTTGTGTGATAGAAGTGGGAGATGCGCAAAAAAGGGGTAGTTCTATCATAATGTGGTAGAAGTCCGATCACTGGCGAAGGTATGCCTAGTGACAGCACCGGTTTTGAGCTGTCCAGATTTTGAGAGGCCTTTCACAATCCATACAGATGCGTCTGATTTCGGTGTAGGAGCAGTGTTGACCCAGAGATTGGAGGACGGTGAGAGGGTTATAGCATATTTGAGCAGGTCCCTGAATAAGAACGAGAAAATTTATTCAACGACAGAGGAGTGTCTAGCGGTCCTGTGGGCGATTGAGAAATTGCGACCATATGTTGAGGGCGCTAAGTTTACGGTTGTTACTGATCACTATTCCTTAGTTTGGTTGAACAATTTGAAGGATCCTTGTGGTAGGTTGGCTCGTTAAGCTTTGAGGGCTTCAGCAGTACGATTTTGAGATCGTCCACCGGAAGGGCAAGGAGCATGTGGTTCCGGATATGTTGTCCAGGAGTATACCGGTTTCTGAAGTTTCTACTATTGACCCTTGGTTATTGAAAATGATTCGGTCTGTTGAAAAGGGACCCCTAGCATACCCAGCGTGGAGAGTAGAAGGTGGCTACCTCTACAAGTTCGTTAGGTCGAAGTTCCCCTCCATTTATGGAAATTGGACTGGAAAAAGGTCCTAGCGCGAGGAAAGGTTGGAGGTTCTGAAGAAATGCCATGATGGTCCGTTGGGCGGTCATATGGGTGTCAGAAAAGCTTTTGTTAGGGTTGCACACAAATTTTATTGACCGCAGATGAAGGCGGATATAGCGAAATATGTGAGGAATTGTAAAGTTTGTCAGCAGGTTAAGCCTGATAATTCACAGCCAGCTGGAGGTATGGCCGAGAGGTCAAAGGCAGTCGAGCATTGAGAAATAATTTGTGTTGACTTGGTAAGCCCCTTGGGGAAGTCGTCCAAGGGCTACCAATACATTTTGACCGTTGTAGACTATTTTTCTAAATTTCCCCTACGGACGGCTACGGCGAAGAGCGTCTGTAAGATTTTGAAGGACAACGTTTTCCTTTTATTTGGTGTCCCTCGGTCGGTGGTCTGCGACAACGGACCCCAGTTCAAGAGTCGTGAACTGCGGGGACTCTGCGGTGCTTATGGCGTCCAGCTACCATACACCGCACACTACCATCCTCAGGCTAACCCGGCTGAGAGGATAAAACATATTATAAAAACTTTGCTTAGGGCTTATGTATCGGAGGATCAGTGTTCATGGGATCAGCAGTTAGCTATGGTAGCTTGCTGCATTAGGTCAGCGCAGCACGAAGTTTTAGGAGCCACGTCATATTTTGTTAATTTTGGTAGAGAAATGGCGTTAGAAGCTAATAGGAACTACATTGAATCATTAAGAGACCAGTAGCCAGTTTCTGTAACTCTTCTCTACCGATTAAACACAGTTATGGTTCACTAAAGAACTGAGAAACTTGAAAAACAGAAAGTCACGTTATTTTAGATTACACAAAAAAACCGGCTTACACTCATACTATGTAAAATACTCACTTTTGCGTCACAAGTTCTTTGAATTAAACAAAAAGTGTTATAAAGATTACTTGTGTAAAATCAAACGACGTATAATATATAACCCCAAATCATTTTATGATTTCGTAAACTCCAAGCGAAATGTACGGGGGTTTCCTTCCGCCATGAAGTATCAAAATACCGTCTCTGGTGATAATCAAACAATTTCTAACATGTTCGCTCAGTTTTTTAAATCCAATTATTCCACTAACTCCCAAGCATACTTTGACTATCCTTTTAAACTAAGTCCAATTAACTCAATACATAACCCTATAATATCTCCCGATGATGTTTTAGTTTACCTGAAGTCCTTAAAGCAGTCTTTTAGTTATGGTCCTGACCAGATCCCCACTTGTTTTCTTAGAAATTGTGCTGATTATCTCTATGAGCCGTTAACAGCCTTATTTAATTTGTCTCTTAAAGAGGGCGTTTTTCCAACTGTATGGAAGGAATCGTTCATAACCCCCTTACATAAAAGCGGTAGCAGGTCTTCAGTGGAGAACTACCGGGGCATAGCTAAGCTTTCTGCAATTCCTAAATTATTTGAAGCAATTATAACAAATCGGTTGACGCATTCTATCACTTCAAGCATTTCATACAGTCAACATGGATTTTGCAAGGGCAAATCAACTTCTACAAATTTACTTGAATTAACATCCTATATCTCAAAAGCATTTAGTGAGAGCAAAACTGTTGATGTTATATATACTGATTTCAGTAAAGCATTTGACAAAGTGTGCCACTCGTTGCTCATCTATAAACTTGATCTTCTTGGTCTTCCACCTAATTTTCTACGTTGGATCTCTTCATACCTCTATGATAGATCACAAAGGGTATTGTTTAAAAATACTATCTCTGACGTCATTGATGTTACTTCAGGAGTCCCTCAGGGTAGCCACCTAGGCCCGATTCTGTTCTTGCTTTTTATAAACGATATTTCTACAGATATAAAATTCTCCAAAATTTTAATGTATGCAGATGATGTAAAACTTTATAAATCGTACGTTTCAATTGAAGAAAGGTCTTTGCTACAATCAGACTTAAACAGCATGGCTTACTGGTGTAAAGTAAATCTTATGCCTCTAAATCTTAAGAAATGTAAAGTAATGTGCTTCTCGCGAAGAGCTGTTCTGCCAGTTTCTTATATAATAGGTAACCATAACCTGGAACAGGTATACAATTTTGTGGACCTTGGTATCACAATGGATCCTAAGCTTAATTTTAATCTTCACATTAATGTGACAGTCAACAAGGCTAAAGGTGTACTTGCATTTGTGAAACGATGGTCAAAAGAATTTAGTGACCCTTATATCACTAAAACCCTGTTTACAACATTAGTTAGGCCGATTCTGGAATACGGCTCGGTGGTTTGGAATCCAAGGTATCAAATTTACTCAGACAAGATAGAATCAATTCAAAAACAATTCCTACTTTTTGCTTTAAGAAATTTCCGATGGGATTCTCAATATAGTCTTCCACCTTATACGAGTCGCTTAAAACTTATTAACCTTCCTACACTTGCCAGTCGCAGGGAAATGCTTGGTATAATTTTTATGGTTAAATTACTGACAGGCTCAATTTCAAGTCCGTCTCTTCTGGCTGATGTAAGCTTTAATGTTCCCTCACGCGTATCAAGACACTTTTGTCCCATATTTCTGAAAGCTTGTAAAACCAATTTTGAATTGCACGACCCACTCCGTTGCTTATGCCAGGATTTTAACTCTCATTCCAGCACGTTTGATATATCAGATCCGCTTTTCAGCATTAAGAAAGCGATACTCTCCTCTCTCAATAAGTGAATTATTGACATAAATACATAAAATCAGCTGATGAATTTAGTTCTGTAGCTGAACAGTTTTAGATCTCGACACTTAACAAACTCCTGCCTATCGCGACTCGGCACAAAAATTTAAAATATTGGTTCCGTACGTCATGCGGACTGCGCCCCTCGTGCGGATGGGCGGGAATGGAGGGTAAAAACCGTTGGGATATATTATTATTATTATTATTTCTCTACTGGTAGAGAATATACGTCATTCTCTAATAGTCATTAGCAGTAGAGAACAAGGCGGCGAATTCATATCTCAATTCGCTTTGGTAGAGAATTGTTACAGAAACGAGCTACAGGAGAAGGTTAGTTGCCAGGAGAGAGCAAGGAGGCTCGAAGATATTAGGCGTATAGTAAGAACTAGGTTGGAAGAGTCCAGTGCGAAGTTAGACAGGCCATATAATCTTACAAGACGGGATGTACAGTATATGCCGGAAGAATTATTTTGGAGGAAGAACTTTGTATTATCGGATGCAGCCAATTATTACGCGGCGAAGTTAGCGCCGAAATACATTACTTTTACTATTAAGGAGAAGGTGTCACCATGGACATATGTCCTGGTGGTGGATAGGGGCGAGCTCTACCGGCAAATAGTTGAGTAAATTAAAGCTCAGGTTGAAAAGCAAAACAGCTGATTGTCGGCGGTGTGCTATAACTGTGGAAATGTCACCATTAGGGGTGTTCGCGCCAAAACGATACCGACCAACAGTAAAAGGATAGGAAGAAGAGATGACGTGAAAACCCACAGTAGGGGCGTCGTCTTTTTATCTTATCGCGGCACTTTTGTTGCCCGGCGAATGATGGCAATGAAAAAGTCCATAGTGGTTGCTTGTGTGCGCCGTGGTGCCGACCACCAAAGGGCCCAATTCGTTTTAAGAATTAACAGGCCGGCGCAAATTGATCGGGCAACAACAACACCAGCACTGAGGCCCGATAGCTTTGCGGACCGGGGGAGAACGAAATGTACATTGATCCGAAAACATCCCTATTGTAGGCGAATTTATTTATTCTTAAGTGTTTTATGTTTTTGTTATTTTATGGCCTTATAACAATTATATTCAACAATTTTTATTGAGCTTGAGGCCGTTCTTTTAATGAAAACTTATAAATACTTCTAATAATAGAAATATTAACAAAGACCAACAAAACTAACAACCACATGATGAAGTGAATTGCAGCGGAATAGCTGCGCTTGATTGTAGTTGGCTTAACAAGTGAAATAGTGGAAAAAGCAGCAAGATATAACAAGGCGAACTTAGCACAGTGCGTAGGCAACTGGCTGAGTCAGTGGGATCGTCGGTTCGAATCCTACTGAAAGAAGTCTGATGAGGAAATGTGATTTCCGAAATAGCTATCACTTCTACCATTTTTTCAAATTATTGTTGCTTTTCCACAATAAATTTTCATTAAAAAAACGGCCTCAAGCTCAAAAAAAATTGTTGAACACTTAAGTGTTTTATTTATATAGTTATTTAGCACCAGACGCGGTACAGTGGTTTTTTTTTTGTGATTTTGCGTAAGTGCCAGT